GGTCTCTGCGTGAGTCTGTGGGTGTCTGTGTGAGTCTATGGGTCTCTGTGTGAGTCTGTGGGTCTCTATGTGATGAGTCTATGGGTCTCTATGTGATGAGTCTATGGGTCTCTGTGTGAGTCTATGTGTCTCTGCGTGAGTCTATGGGTCTCTGTGTGAGTCTATGGGTCTCTGTGTGAGTCTGTGTCTCTGTGTGAGTATATGGGTCTCTGTGTGAGTCTATGTGTCTCTGCGTGAGTCTGCGGGTCTCTGTGTGAATCTGCGGGTCTCTGTGTGAATCTGCGGGTCTCTGTGTGAATCTGCGGGTCTCTGTGTGAGTCTGCGGGTCTCTGTGTGAATCTGCGGGTCTCTGTGTGAATCTGCGGGTCTCTGTGTGAGTCTGCGGGTCTCTGTGTGAGTCTGTGGGTCTCTGTGTGAGTATGTGGGTCTCTGTGTGAGTCTGTGGGTCTCTGTGCGAGTCTGAGGTAGTCAACATCTCGCCAGCGTGGCGATTGGGGGGGTCGGGATCGAACCCACGACCTCCTGTGTACCAGGCGAGGTAGTCAACATCTCCTAGCCACTGTGATGTCAGGGACGGGATCGAACCCACGACCTCCTGTGTACCAGGCGAGGTAGTCAACATCTCATAGCCACTGTGGTGTCAGGGACAGGATCGAACCCACGACCTCCTGCGTACCAGGCGAGGTAGTCAACATCTCCTAGCCACTGTGGTGTCAGGGTCGGGATCGAACCCACGACCTCCTGTGTACCAGGCGAGGTAGTCAACATCTCATAGCCACTGTGGTGTCAGGGACAGGATCGAACCCACGACCTCCTGCGTACCAGGCGAGGTAGTCAACATCTCCTAGCCACTGTGGTGTCAGGGTCGGGATCGAACCCACGACCTCCTGTGTACCAGGCGAGGTAGTCAACATCTCCTAGCCACTGTGGTGTCAGGGTCGGGATCGAACCCACGACCTCCTGTGTACCAGGCGAGGTAGTCAACATCTCCTAGCCACTGTGGTGTCAGGGACGGGATCGAACCCACGGCCTCCTGTGCACCAGGCGAGGTAGTCAACATCTCACAGCCACTGTGGTGTCAGGGACGGGATTGAACCCACGGCCTCCTGTGCACCAGGCGAGGTAATCAACATCTCCTAGCCACTGTGATATCAGGGACAGGATCGAACCCACGACCTCCTGCGTACCAGGCGAGGTAGTCAACATCTCCTAGCCACTGTGGTGTCAGGGTCAGGATTGAACCCACGACCTCCTGTGTACCAGGCGAGGTAGTCAACATCTCCTAGCCACTGCGGTGTCAGGGTCGGGATTGAACCCACGACCTCCTGTGTACCAGGCGAGGTAGTCAACATCTCCTAGCCACTGTGGTGTCAGGGTCGGGATTGAAGCCACGACCTCCTGTGTACCAGGCGAGGTAGTCAACATCTCATAGCCACTGTGATATCAGGGACAGGATCGAACCCACGACCTCCTGCGTACCAGGCGAGGTAGTCAACATCTCCTAGCCACTTTGGGGTCAGGGACAGGATCGAACCCACGACCTCCTGTGTACCAGGCGAGGTAGTCAACATCTCACAGCCCCCCCTCCCCACTCAGTGAACATTGGAGCGAACCGATGGGAGTGCGAACGGCGGAGACGATGACGACGTCGTCCTTCATGGCTCCACGTTGTGTCCGGCTCACTGCTGGGTGGGGAGGAGGGGGAGGAGGGGGAGGGATTAAACCATATGAGCTATAAAGCGCTTCTGTTACAACGTTAAAGTGTCAGTGTTCATGTATTCGGTATAGCCCCGTGATTGATGCAGCTCTTGACTCGGGGTGCAACCAAAACATGAATAAGAAACATAATCTTCGGTAAAGTCACGTAGAAGGGAAATAATAAAATAATAAAAATGTAACAAAATAAAATCCGTACGACGTTTCGGCCGCAACGCAAGCATCCTGCGTTGTGGCCGAAACGTCGTAATAATTTTATTGTTTTATTTTATTATACTCTTAGGTTTTTTTTTCGGAGGCAACACGAAACGTCGTAATTTATTATTGTATTTCTATTATAATTAATATAAAAAAAGTGTTATTTATGTATTTATTTCCCAACGTGACTTTACCGAAAAAACCTAAGCGTATGAATCATTGCAGTCACGAAAGCTTCAAATCTAGAATTGTTTTAATATTTTTATTATTTCCCTTCTACGTGGTGACTTTATCGAAAGAACCAAGAAGATGAATCAGTCACGAAAGCTTTACATCGGAAACAAGAAAACGTCCTAAAGTAACCGCACGCAACGGAAAAAACAGCGAAATAAAATTAAAAGATGTAACAACAACGACGTGATTTAAAGGGGTGCGAAACATAGGTGAAGTGTGGACGCGTACGCTTATATAATGTACAAATATTAAAGATTATAACGTCGTCTTACCAATTCAGTTGAGTCCCACTGCGCTCAGAGCAATGGGCGATCTGAGCTGCTTTGCACCCGGACGTACCGCGAGCCACGCGTCTGATTGGTCAACTCCCTCGCGCGAGCTCATGAATATTCATGAGACGGGCGATGTAGGGGCGTGTCTTCAGCCGGGCGGTTATCCAATCGGCTGCGAGGATTACGACGGCCCACGGTGAATGGGCGTGGCTTCGGATCGGTGATCCAATCAGCTCTCTTCTGCGTGTTGTTTATCTCATGAATATTCATGAGACGGGCGATAGAGGGCGTGTCTTCCTGCTGGGGCTCTTAGCCAATCAGCTGCGAGGATTATGACAGCCCACAGTGGGGAAGGGCGTGGCTTCAGCCAGTTATCCAATCAGCTCTTACCTCGTTAAATAAATGAATATTCATGAGATGGACGATATGGAGGCGTGGCTTCGGCAGGCTCTTAGCCAATCAGCTCTTGCGATGGACGTGGAGACTCTTATCCAATCAGCTGCAAGGATTATGACAGCCCACCGTGACTATGGGCGTGGCTTCAGGCGCATTGTTATCCAATCAGCTCCTCTTCCAACTCATGAATATTCATGAGACGGACGATAGAGGGCGTGTCTACTGTGGGGCTCTTATCCAATCAGCTGCGAGGATTATGACAGCCCACCGTGACTATGGCCGGTGGCTTCGGTCTGTTCGACCCCGAACCTGACGAATGCCTGCTGCTTTATATTTGGAGTCTGTGCGTCTTTAGTTCTTTCGGTAAAGTCACGTAGGGTATAAATAAAGTAAATCACGACGTTTCGATCGCGACACGAGCAATCATAATCATCATCATGAGGTGGGTTAACCACGGCAAGAGAATTTGAGCAAAAAAAAAATGTATTGCAATAAAATTTGAGCAAAAAAATTCTAGCAAGAAGATTTCAGCAAAAAAAATTATTGCAAGAAAATTTTAGCAAAAAAAAATATTTATTGCAAGAAAATTTCAGCAAAAAAATTCTAGCAAGAAGATTTCAGCAAAAAAAAATTAATGCAAGAAAATTTGAGCAAAAAAAATTTATTGCAAGAAAATTTGAGCAAAAAAAAATATTTTTGCAAGAAAATTTGAGCAAAAAAAATTCTAGCAAGAAGATTTCGGCAAAAAAAATGTGAGCAAAAAAATTTATTGCAAGAAAATTTGAGCAAAAAAAATTATTGCAAGAAAATTTGAGCAAAAAAAATTCTTGCAAGAAAATTTCAGCAAAAAAAATTCTAGCAAGAAAATCACAGCAAAAAAAAATATTCTTGCAAGAAAATTTGAGCAAAAAAATTTTCTTGCTGTAGTTTTTCCCACCTGACGATGATTGCTTGTGTTGCGCCCGAAACGTCGTGATTTAATCTACTTCATTTAATACCCACGTGACTTTACCGAAAGAACCAAAGAGTTTGTGGATCCCTGCAGAAACGAAAACTTCAAATCGAGGCTGTCTGCGCGTCCCTTCTCAGGATCAACATTTGTACTTATTTGGCTGATGCTAATTTCCACGGGATGATGATGATAAGCCGACACGTCGTTGAGCTGTCATTTGGCCAGCTCGCAGCGGAACAGTGGGGCCTTTGGGGCCGTCCATAAATGACGTCACGCACCTGGTGGGGAGGGGGGCATGTCAGACATTTGTGACGATGTGTGACGATGGGAAGGGGGAGGTTTGAGAAATGTGACGTCACATCAAAAAGCGCAACTTTAAATAAATACAGACAACACGTTCTACTTAAATTTCGATTTAAAGCTTTCGTGACTGCAGGGATTCATCTTCTTGGTTCTTTCGGTAAAGTCATCAGGTAGAAGGGAAATAATAAAATAATAAAATAAAACGTCGTGATAATTACTTTATTATGTTTTATTTTCATTATTATTTGGCATCAGTTTTTGTCTATCACATCAGGTTTTTGAGATATCAGAATATTGCATTTTGAATACAAACTGCGGAAAAGAAATATTAAATAAATGTGGATATCTACATAAAATGACATTATAAACACACCATTCTAAAAATACAGCACCATAGTTTAACACTAAAGCAGTCACTGACTCGCAACAACTTGCAATCATAAGTGACAGAGTTAATTTCGGGTAAAATCAATGAAAATGAGGTATGCCGATAGCATAAAAATGAGATGTGATAGAGCAAATCTGAGATCAGATTTGGAATCAGCACCCTGAAATTAGTCTAACACAGCTGCAAAAGTCCAGGCCAGAATTTTTTTTTTTTGTTGACCAGTGTTATCTTATTCTTAGGTTTTTTCGGTAAAGTCACGTAGGTAAAAAATTAAAATTTAAATTAATAAAAGTAAAATAAAAACATGTATTATACTTGTTCATTTTAATTTTTAAAAAATTCCTACGTGACTTTACCGAAAAAACCTTAAAAAAATATATAATTAAATATTTATTTTACTTTTATTAATTTTAATTTAATCTTTTTTCCTACGTGACTTTACCGAAAAAACCTAAGAATATGATTCCTTGCAGTCACGAAAGCTTCAAATCTAGAATTAGTGTAATCTTGAGATACGGGTGAGACTCTGCTGGGTAAAACATGCCTCGCAATAATTACAATACAACATGGGAAAAAAAAACCAAGATTTTATTCAGCTTTGCAAACACCTCAACTTCATGAGAGATGACAAACATCTCCTAGTCACCACGTTGGCTCGGAGATGTTAACTACCTCGCCTGGTATACAGGAGGTCTTGGGTTCGATCACCACCCTGACACCTGCTGTATATTTGGAGTTTGCGTGTTTTCTCTCTCTATCTCTCCCCAGGGTCGCATGGATTTCTCCCCGGGTTCTCTGGGTTTTTCCCTGCTGCTATCAATTTCCACATGATGATGATGATACGTCACGTCTTTGAGCTATCATTTGTGGTCAGGTCGCTTCTAAAAGAGAGCTACAAACCATCTCAGTGGGCCTTACCTGGTAAATTTAAAATAATTTGGTTACAATTTAGTTCACCATACACACACAGGTCCAAAGACAAAGATCACCCGTGTAGCCTTAATAGACTTGGGACAAGTACTGTGAGCGAGCACCTATGAATGTCAGCATGGCACACGAGGGGGTGGGTGGTGTTGTATGTGTTGGGATTATGAAATTTTGATGAAAATAATAAAAATTAATAATTTTCCGAAAAATGCGCAAATCGCATTAATTATGATAGTGTGTGTATTAATGTGCATAAATTATGATAATGCGTGTAATTATATGCATAATCTATTATAATCACGGAGACAATCGTAGTAATTTATGCGGATGCTTGCGATTATGCTAATGTGAGCAGTTGTGATAATTAGGCTCAGCTTCGTTTATCCAGTGTTATATCAATCAGGATAACACTATTATCATCGATTAAACGTTTACCGATTATCTTAGTGTGTTATGATATTTTAGGTCACCAGTTTCAGATCTCATCACAGGATACAGTTGTCAAGAATAAGACAGTTTTGCATGGACTTGGAAGGAACACTCGAGTCGCTTCTGTGATAACAATTTTATTCTAAACAAACATGTGACATTCTAGCATGCAGGTCAAACATGTGTCAATAATTCATGAGCAAGATTATGCACTTAACGAAAATGGATAACTAAAAATACTCCTTCATTTGCGAGACTATGCATTTAACTAAATTGAATAACCAAACTCTTATGCATTTGCGAGACTATACATTCGACTAATATGAATAACCAAAACTCTTATGCAATTGCGATATTATGCATTTGACTAAAATGAATGAATAAACACTTATGCATTTGCGAGACTATGCATTTAGCTAAATTGAATAACTCAAAACCCTCCTAACAGTCGTAACCTCTACCTTTCCACCAGGCATTTCATTAGTTCGCCCATGTATCGATCACAATCGGCGACTGGCCGAGTTTGATAACAAGCATGACACACTTCATATGGCGGTAATAAAAAGCACTTATTGTATCCCAGAGGCGAAAGTATATGTCAATAGATTCATCGGCAAGTATAAAATCCTTTTTAACGAAATGTTTGAGACAAGGGTGGGTGGATGCGTGCTGTGAGAGGGAGTATCGGCTCTGCTTTGATTAATTCCTCAGCGAGATTCTCTGACAAAGAAAACCGATTTGACAAGATATTCTCTCTATATATATGGGTCGATTCGTAATGAGGATTCCGAGAGTTTGAGTTTGCCTCGACGAATCTATTGATCGCCTATGCGATGAACGGGACAAAAGAAAAAGGCAAGGAGAATAACCTCACTCTTATAACCGACGGACTCTTAATCACTCGATGGGCCGTGATTCCTCATGGCCCGCTGATGGTTCATGTAGTTGATAATCAGTCTTCTGATAATTGACTAGGGTTGATACGATGGTAAGGGTGAACTAGATGGGATAGTCTCACAGGTGAGTGGGGCGTCGATGCGTGCGTGTGTGGGTCTATTGGTGGGGGAAGTTGTGGGTACGAACGACTTTCGGAGAAGGACCCTCTGGCTTGCGCAGCTGCGGTGAGAGGGTGAGCGGCTCGCTTTCCGACTCTCTGGAATTCGCACTCCTTAGTTTTCAGAAAGGTCGTGTAGGTAGGAAACATATACTAATAATAAAAATATTATTGTTTGTTGGTTAATTATCTTTGTTAAGTTTCTACTCTTCGGTAAGGAAAACGTTAAGAAAACGCGAGTTGCAACCGTCACTTACTCTGCACCTTATCTGTACATCTCCAGATGTCCTGGGAGGCTAGTCCATACATCTTTGTCCATCTGGATGTCTATGTCCTCTCCGTGACCGAATTCCTATCATTTCAACCGCCCTCCATGTCTCGTGGACTCCCGGTGTGCCCGTGAGGAGGAGTGAGCCGTCCTCATTATTAAAAAAAAAATATATAGATATAATAAAAACAATTTTTTTTTTAATTATTCTTAATATTAATAACGGAAAACAGGGCATAGATACAACAGTGGCCAGCACCACGTCTGCCAGGCCGCCTTTGTCTCCCTAGTCATCATGTTGAAAACAACACATTTAAGGCTGAGTCGACTTAGGGAAGGCCCATGATCGTGTCAGATTATCGG